GCTCCCGCCCTCACTCACCGCCGCGCGTCCCGCTTGGATCTCCCTCCTCGCCCCGGCGCCGAAATCGCACGGGAACTCGCGCCCAGCTCTCGCGAGAACAGCGGCGCGGGCTGCCGTAAGGACGGGACTAAGCGCGCACCCCGCCGACGGTCTCCGCGCTCTACCGTAATGACCCGCGGCAGCGCCAATGGCGCGGGGGAATGGGGTTCACCGAGGTTTCCCTTCCCAAACTTACACAAAGCAACAGCCAGCTCCCAAGTTTGGGGAATTAGGAGTTTTCAAAGCAGGTGCAATTCGATAAACCTGTAGGCAATCCCAGATGAGATGTTTATAATGAGAAAGATCTGGAAGCCCTCAAACCAGACACCACCACCAGCCCCTCTTGCAACTCATGCCACAGCCTGATAAAAGCGCTGTTTAAGGTGAAAGTTGTCACTTCCCAATAAACAGATCTTATCTTAGCAGTGGCTAAATTTATTTGTGCAGAAGGAATTCTAGCAACTCAATCAGTAATCGTCCCTGTCTGGGATCCAAGGAACACCTCGTCACTTCACCTAAGAAACATCACTGATCAAATATACTACTGAAAACAGAAGGGAAGCTACCTTCTGGGTGATGATGCAGATCCTGACAGGCACAAAAATGTGCCCATTTTCACATGTGCTAATAAATTGCACCAGCTTTAAAGAAAGATGAAGAGGCAACAAATTGGCTCAAACTGCCCTTGCTGTTCCCTCTCATTCCAACACTGGCCTTTACGGTTAACCTCACACAGGACAACATTAATAGTGCAGTGACTTTCAAGCACGCATTAAAACCTCATAAAATCACTGTTTTATTTCCATTTCCATTACTCCAAGCCCCCGAGGTCGCCTTTCAGATTGCTCCTCTCCATTCCCAACTGTTTTCTCCCCAGGTGAGAACTTAGATTGGCTGCCTCTGCTGGGATAATTAGCAGATACTCGCAGTAGGGCACCACCCTGGTTTATTTTTGTATGTGATTTACTTTGTAACAGTCGTGGCAGATTTCCCCAGGGTCTGAATGGTGGGATTTTTCATTAAACACACACCAGATTCGGATTTGCAGAGTGTCTGATCATCTGTTTGATAATCTGCAGTTCGCAGCCTTCATTTCCCTTTGTAGAGTCTTGCCAAATAGTAAGATTCAGCAGAGTCCTTCCGGCTGGCCTGAGGCTTTATAGTTCTCACATCTTGGAACTGCTCCTTCAGTCTGTTCTGCAGAAGACGGGACTCATACCCATCCCAGAATTTACAGAGCAGCGTTCCCTTTGGCTTTAAAATACTTTGGGACACATTCAGAAGGCTTAAACATAGATTGATCAGCTTCTGGTGATCCAATTCTTTGATGCCTGTCGCATTAGGTGCCACGTCGCTCAAGATAACATCCACCTTTTCTGCAGGAAGCAGACTCTGGATCATCCTCAGCGTGCCTGGGTCTGCAATGTCAGCCTCTGACAGGAAGACTGCTCCTTCCAGAGGAGCAATCCGAAGGAGGTCAACACCAAGGACGAAGCCGGTGGGGACAGCAGGATCTAGATAAGAACAAATGACACTCTGAACACTCATAACGGTTGCAAACAACCTCCATAGGTATGAGCTTTGTGCTAGTCAATAAACAAAAAACACATCACCTGCCACGTCTGGTCTTCTTATCCTTAGACAATTTGCTGCATGTGTCTGGATGAATGGTTTGCTGAAAGCTAATCCATTCAAGATGTAAAAACTCAGCTACTTTGGATAAGCAAGGGGTATTTTTCTTGGGTTTCTTCTGCTCTTTCAAGGCTGACAGTCCAGAAATGCTGGACGATAGTACAGACAGTAATACCTTATCATGTAAACATTAATGGCTTAAAACACAGAAACTGGACATAGTGGGTACTATCATTTTTCAAGAAAGGATATAAAAATTCAGGAAAGCCAAGCTACCTGCTGGAGGTCACATCAATTTCAGAACAGGATGAAGGGATCTTCCCCACAACAGTTAATCAGTACATTAGCACCACGTTCAGTTTTAATTTCACAAATATGACTTCTCCAGACCATATGAGGAGTTCCTGTTCTTCACTCCAGCACACCTTCACACCTCTGTCATTGACTCCTGGCATTCACCAGTACCCACGTCCCTTCCCCACACCACCACCATCACAAGTGAGTTTTCTCACACACCTCAAAATGAGCAGCATCCCCATCTTGCCTGCCAACAACATGGACTTACCAGTACCTAAGGCATTGACTCTCTCTACAGCAACCTGACTCCAAGCACCGGGGGCAGCTCCACAGTCAAGAACAGAAAGTCCTGGACGAAGAATATGAAGCTTGTCATCGATTTCCAGTAACTTGAAGGCACTTCGGCAACGGTAATGCTGCTGCTTCGCTGCCTTGACAAAGGGATCCTTCACGTGCCGCTCCAACCACCAGTGCTCAGCTCCAGTTTTCTTCAGAAACCTCACTGTGGTGTGGAGACACTTGCTCACCAAATGCCAACAGCTGCCCAGGAAGGAAGGCAAATTAATCAGTTAGTGCGTAATCACAGAATGGTTTAGGATGGAAAGGACCTTAAAGCTCATCCAGTTCCAACCCTCTGCCATGGGCAGCAACACCTTCTACTAGCGCAGGTTGCTCCAAGCCCCATCACTATGTGTTTCAAAGGTCTCTATAGGACTTAATTCTAGCTCTGACCACATCTCCTCCCCAGCTCAGAAAAAAAGCCTCCAAATTTGAGATTTGCGGTGCCTTATCTGGTACAATCCCAACCAAAGGGCTGGATTTGGGGTGGACACCTCACAGGTTACCCTGAGGTGGGACAGAGCATCCCCTCATAGACAGCTCTTCACTTCTGTGTTTGTGCTCGAGGCCCACAGGGACACGACATGGCAGCCTCACCCCAGCACGGGCCGCCTGGCAGCGGGGGTACCTCAGCCCCTCGGAGGACGGAGGGATGCCCCAGCTCCGCCATGTCACCGGGCGGCGCACACCAACAGAGGCCGCTACCACAGCTTCCCAGTAACTAACCCCCGCTCCGGGATTTCCAGCGGTGACAACCCAAAACACCCATTACCCGTTGGTGAGGCGCTGGGGGTAACACCAAGCCGTCCCGG